TCATCAATTACGGACTTTCAAACCCTACATATTTGGTGCTTACGTAACAAGTAAGTTGAAACTGAAGCAGAAATAACCGAAAGCGAAAGTCAAAAGGTTCTTTGGTGTTACGCCACATTGCCACCAATTTTGTATTAGGACGTTGCTTATGGCTTCGAAAATAAATGCTGCCTAAATTTAAACTGTCCATTCGTGAGATCTTTCGCAAGCAACCTTTATTCACCAATGCGGCGCACAAACTCGCGATGTACCACACTTGCCCGTAAGTTTACAACATATCGGTGCGCCTACAGACAGGTCGCGTGTCAAAATTTGTCTGCATCAACCTTTATTATACCAGACATCTAACTAGAATGAAGACGATTTTTTCAATGAACTACGTCACACAATCACAGAGAGGCTGCAGGAAAAAAAAAGAAAGTGATTATACGAAAGAAGGTACTTTCCTCCTCCTGTTTTTATCATCGCCTTTGCGAAGGTGATGGTGTTGCGTAGTAGATATACAAGATCTAGTATGACGCCACCGGCTAGTTGAAAAAAAAAACGCCTCTTGTTTAATGAAGCGTTTAAGGTGCCTAGAGTTACATTTTCGACCGACGGGGAAGTTTCCTTGCTCTACTTGTTGCTGTGTGACGTCACCATAGAGATTGCCCAAATATGGATTATCTTAGTTTGCCAGACAGTCATTGCATCACCATAGGGCACAGATTGAATTCCGTCAATGGGCGTTTCGTTGAGAAGACGGCGAAGTTAGTGCGTGGTGTATTAAAGTAGCTTACCTGTTACTTTTCCTTCTAATAAGCGCTCTTTTACATCCCCGCGCGTCTGTGTTACGACACTCAAGTAAGTTCGCCCGAAGGCCAGCACAAACGGCCAAGTTGTAATGTATCATTGGTTACTAGGACACTCATATATTCCTGGCAATATAGGAGACATAGGGGAAGACACTGAGGTCATATACAGGGTACAATGCACGAAAAACATTATGCTATTTCCTTATACCCGCAGTGATGCCTACCGGTTGGTGAGAAACTCACCCTCTGGCCATAGGAGAAACACCTTGGTTGGACACAAAACAGTTCCCAGAACTGCATTTACAAGCCATAACGGTAAACTGACCCTCTCCGACAGAATTAGAAAAGTGAGACGCTGATAATCCTGTCATATTTTTATAGTTTTTAGGAGGTACTATTCAGGCCGGCATAATTTCGCCTTTAGTTTACAAAGCTCTTGAGTCCCCAATTATTCCGACGTCAAAACAACTCAAACTTCCCAAATAACTCACATACGAAACTTAGATATACGTCAAATATCTCGAAAATAATAATATTATTATATTATTGGTATAATATTATAATTGTAATAACTTTTATATTAATTAAGGCTCAATATCTCAAAACCACCATATGAATATGAGAGGCGCCGTAGTGCAGGGCTCCGGAAATTTCAACCAGCTGGGGGGTTCTTTAACGTACACCTAAATCTAAAGGCACGCGGGCCTCAAAAAATTTTGCCCCGTCGAAAATCCAGCCACAGCAGCCAGAATTTGATTCCTTGGCCTCTGGTTTTGTTTCCGCCAATACGTGAACTCAAAAGAAGAACAACCTACAGATTTAATAAAAATAAACTCTGAAAACGCAGAGCCCTAGTTATTGCATATCGATGTGGCTAGCACATCACCTACCATGGTGTTATCCTGGCACGGGGCACAACGTCGAATAATTCGTTCTTAAGCGCAGTTCCTAGGAGCGGCTAATAAGAACGAGGGGTATCGTCACATTGGCATAAAGCGTAGTGCTGTGGGTATTGTACGACATGGCAGCCCGACCATCTTCTTGAATACCCTGATTTCAGGCCTGTTCGTTATTGGTTTGTTAACAGCTTTACGTGTAGAACCACAGGTGTTATGAAACTCATACTTCTCACACTACCGCAATCGATGCCTGCGCTGATCACCAGTGTGTCGTGGCCACTCCGTAACTTTGAACAGTCAGGCACAAATAAAATAAAAGGAAATACATATTGCCTGTTGCTCTATTGTTGCAAATCTCGAATAACCACATGCCTTATTTTTTCGCATGTGATCCGCAAAAAAAAAAAGAGAGAGAGAAAAGAAAAAGAGACAAGCTAAGAAATGTGTTTATAGAGGGAATGCTGGTTGTGTGCTGGGGTTACATATATGTTTTTCTTTTTCTTTCTTTTTGTTGAGTTGAAGTATGGGTACTGGGTATATGCAAGAGTAGGTAATATTCGAGAAAATACGGTGATTAACGCTTTCAATATGCACAATGACTGTGTTCGGCTAGTCGGGCCTCAGGATGAGAGTTTAAAATCATCGAAAAGAAAGTTGACGTGTATCTTCAAAAGAAGTTATGTATGTGGGCTAGACATGACTCAACAGAAAGACAAAGAGAGAGTCCTCTTTTCTTTTCTTGAAGTGCACGTATACGCACCATGTTACTTTCAATCATGGTGTAAAAAAAAAACAAAAAAATGCTGTGCTCTCGACACCGCATTCCTGTCTTGTACGCGCTGGTGATTCTCCCCGCAAAACTTCTGTAATCAGCAATTTGAGATACGAATCTTACCTATAATGACATAACGCTATTGGACCTGTGCTTCGCAGAGACAAAAACACGTGGTGCATCCACATGAATTTCATGTCGTCAGCCGGCTTCAAGCGAAATATCCCGAAAAGCTTCTACGGTGTAAATTACACGCTATCGACTTTTCGATTTTCATTTCAACCAATGTACGTAAGCAACTTCACGTGGTCATCGTTTATTTACGAAAACTAATCAAGAAAGACGCACACCTACATCCATGATAAGTCGATAACCACAGACCGAATTCATAGCGCTTCCTCTAAAGTGTAGTTTCCAGTAGGTCAGATATCTCTGTTTGTTATGTTTTTTATTAATGATGACTCGTAATCAAGTCGATCTGGCCATAAGCGGGAGAACTGGCGGTAGCGGGGGAATCGTACCTTTCTACACACCTATGAGGGGTGAGGGCGCTCAAAGCCTGTCACATACATTGACTCAATAGGAAGGGAGGGGAGGCGCTGTGACCAAGTGGCGTCTCCCCCCCCACCCCTGAAAATGGACCCAGCGCGCACTACTAGACGCCGTATAAACGTTTCTTGAGTAAAGGATTTTCTTTCACAAACACGGGCATTTTTCATTGAGGAAAATCGCCGTTCAAGTCAGGCAGAAATAGCTCGGTCGTATTCCGAATAATGAAACAAATAAAAGAATGAAGAAAAGAAATATTTTGTCAAACAAAACTACAACGAGACGCGACAGGCTATCAATCCAATGAAAATATAGAGAATGTTTGTTGTAGTAGTGTTGATATTAATTAAAATAATTAGAGCGGAATAAATATATAAGTTGCCACCGCCATGCAAGGGCTGAAACCAGCAACCTTCGCATTGCGCTCTCGATGCTCCACCGATTGAGCTGTGACGGCGGTCATCCTCACGGCATTTATATACACTCCACGGCTTGATTGTTGTACAGTTTCGTTAATGCTTAGTCCAAAAACGATAAAACCAGGAATTCGTTGTGAAAGCACAATGAGAGTTCTGGAAAGTTTTCCTTTATTTTTTATAACCTTTCACCTTTTTTTTTTTTCGCGTGTGTTTATTACTCGGTCTATTTCACATCATTGGTTTTCATTACTATTGAACCAGGACTAACTGCCATACATATTTGCTGGAAGCATTAGTGGTTTTGTACAAGCAGTGGTGACATGTGCATTATGACTGTAGTCGGTGACAGCCCAAAAGCTGAGAGAGAGAGAGAGATAAAGATGCAAGGAAAGGCAGGGAGGTTAACCAGACGCACATCCGGTTTGCTACCCAGCCCAAAAGCAAATACACGTTTTGCCTACGAGACCGCATTGCCCGTATTTTTCATGCTGTGGCCGTGTCGCTTCTTTACGCTGCCGAAATGACGGAACGCGATAAAGCGTTGAAAAACACTCGGAAGTGCTGCCGTTTCAGTGCACGTCAAACGCGGCACAAGCACGAACTTTAACTGCATTGAATGACGACCAGCGGGGATGATGCTGTGTGCGTGTGGATTAGAGTTTAATTTTCAATTGGTTCGTCTTAAACATTATATGTCATAGCAAAAGGCAGCCCTAGTAAGGTGCTCATAAGGCAAAGTAATAGGGATAAAGTTTTCTTGTATTAGGTTGTCACTGCCTAAACTCGCAGGTAAAGAGGGGTGAAATATTTGAAACAGCAGTTAGTCAAGTCATCCCGAGGGAAAAAAAAAACTCGATCTATGCCTTATTGCAAGCATCTTGCTATTGTTTCTTTTCCCGACCACATGCTATGAACTTGTTTTTTTTTACGTGTGTGACACTCATATTTGTTAATGGCAATTTTTGTTTCCGCAAGAGTGCGATCTCTGTTGCGATGATGTAAAGTACTGTAAAGAAAATAATTTTTCATAAACTTGAACTTTCGGTAAATCGCTACAGAAAGGTGACTAGAACGAAGCGCTGAAGAGAATAGCATCTGTACAAAATTGTCTTATTGAATCGGAATTCACTAAAACACTTGTCGGCATTACTCGTAAAAAGTTTGTAATTGTGATATTGCTGTTCTTTGGCTTGATCTGTCGGTCTACTAGGGAAGGTTTTTATTATCAGCTAATTGTTCCAATTAGCAATGAATATTTACCCGTGCCAATCTTTAATAATATACGGCACTGCGTACTAAGAGCGTGCCGACTCACCCGAATGCAACCCCCCCCCCCCTTATCTCTGAGATTCCGCGGATAACATTTGATTTACGTTTACTACTATGCATGTTTTCAAGCAGGGCCCTTAATCTCTTCCTACTTTCCGGTTTCTGCTCGTTTGTGAGCCTGGAGGTGTGCCACTCTGATTGTCGATCATTGCATGAAACGAAATGAACAAAAAAATGCTGGTGTCATGGTATGGGACAGCAGTCGCAAAGCAGCGCTGTGTACTGCGCCGAGGCTCACCAGTTGCTTTTGACTTCGTAGTGTTCGGGCTTGACGCTGAGCCGACAGCTGATCTCGCTGCCTCGCTTGCGCTGGGACGCCGGCGAACTGAACACGCGCCGAGGCACCAAAACCAGGGGGTCCGGTCCACCACAAAAGAGTAAAAAGACAAAAAAGAACTATGTCCCAAAAGAAGAGAGTCTTCTTGTCTGCAATCAACACCGAGCGTGCGGACGCGCGTGCGCACGCACGCGATAAACAAAAAGAGCGGCGATGTCAGGCGATCCCGTCACGCGGCGGCCACTGAGTGCGACGTGTGTCCGGAGGGGAAGAAGCGCCGATCGTGTGTGTTTGAGCAGCGGGGGCGACGCTTTTCTTTCAAGCCCAGCCGGTCTCTTTTTAAAGTGCGGACCCCCCATCCTCCTCCTTTATCGTCCCACCCTCTCTCTCCTCCACTACGAGGCTCGTAGTCTCTCGACGGTGGGCCAACCTTCTACATCAGCCCCGCCGCTCGTTGGGGAAGCGTTTCGCACGCGCCTTCCCTTCTCTCGGGGCAACGTGGATTTCCCCTCACTCGTACCCTCTCCCGTTCCCCTCGGCGGCTGAAGCGCACCGCCAATGGCGCGGGGACCCCGGGCCCCGCGGAGCCCCGCGTCCGCCCTGTTCTGCGACGGCGAGCCTTCGCGCCGCGAAGGATCCCGGCTCGCGCCGCGGGGACACAACCTGTGGCCGCAATAGAGGCGACCCCCTCCTCCCCCTTCCCTCTCCCTCAGTAGTAGCGGCCACCTCTAGTGACCCGCGCTCCCCACTCGTCACCGTGGTCGCGCCGTTCATATCACCTGTCCACTATTTCTTTCACGACGGAGTCTGGCCACACTACCGCGCGCGCGTGACGTATTCCCCGCGAGGAGGCACACCCGTTCGAACAGTGCCTCTTCGGTGTTAAGCGTGCCACGAAACGACCGCGAAAGGGGAAGCTATGCTCTATTTGGTGGCGTCATGCATGAGTCCATATAACTTTCGAGACTGTTGGACTTCCTCGCATTTCGTGTCTAGCTCAGACCGAATGTGAAGGTTTACGGCGATTATTTGTGCTAGATGTGCGTATGAATAATATCTGAGGTTTATAGTGCCGAAAGATGACATGATTATGACGGATGCTGTAGTAAGGGGTTCCATAAATTTAGACCACCCCGGATTTATTACCATGCGCTCACATTGCGCAGTGCATAGGCCTCGGTATTTCACATCAATCGAAATGAAGACCGCCCCTGCAGGAATTCTACTTCCGCGGCCACGCCTAAAACAGTGCGAAGCTGCGTGGACTTCTACGGTTCTCTTTTTTTTTTCTTCATTTTATCACATATTCCTTTTTCTCACTTCTCTTTTTTTCCAGTCTTCTTACTCTCTGCTGATATCTGTTTCTTTCTTACTAAACATGCAGTTCTTTTTTTTCTCGTTCTGTCCAGCTTTCTTTCTTTTTATTTCCTTTCATTATATCTCCACTAATGAAGGAAAGAAGTGGAGATATTAGGGATAATTTTATTCCTTGGCCACACTATTAATGAGAAATAACAGAAAGGGATGTCAATGATACAGCATGATAGTTGTAATTGCAATATAAGTTGGAGTAAACAAAAATCTGGAAAGAAATATAATTTGCCACCAGCAGGGAACGGACCTGCGACCTCACATCAACGCATCCGATACCTTATCAACTGAGCTACGGCAGCAGTCGTCCCTCGGTTCTCTTTATGGGGTATATATACGGGCTCACGAGCATTTCGAACGTGGGTGCATCGATCAAAGCCGCCAGTAGCTGTTGTGCTCAGTGTAGAACACTATTTTTTTTCTTTTTGCCTGTTGGTTTCACGTATCACGTGAATTTATTACGAGTTGACAGCTGGACTCGTAATGCCTCGCATACTACCTGAAAGCACGCAGTCGGCCAGAACGTGACCCTCGCCTATGAATAAAGGAATGATAGAGCATCGGACGCGTTATTTGAAAGTCGCAGGTTCAAGTTTTCGATTCGTCCATTTTTCTTTCTTCACTATTCTATTACATTTACTACTAATAACATTTTATTCATTGGCGTCATTGTCTGCTAGTTTTCAATAATTCTCTTTGTCTTTGTGTCTATTTATTTCTATCTCTTTTCTTTTTCATTGATTTTTTCTTCTTTATGTCTTTCATTTTCTTCGTTTTTGTTCCTTTTTTTCTATGCTATACTATGCTATGCAATGCTTCTATGCTATGCTATGGTTTTTTTTCTATGCTATGCTACGCTAGCGATCTTTTATAGTCGAGTGGTTATAATGCTCGCCTTTGGATCTTGTGTACGAGGTTCAAAATCTCGCCTCATGACGAACAAATTTCCGCCAAGAATTTCTCTCTTTCTCTTCGTATATTTCTCTCTCTCTCTTTCTTTCTCTCTCTGCTCTTTCTTTCATTCATCAGAGTTGCTCGTTCCGGCGCCACTTGAATTTGTTCTGGGAGATGAACAGGCGAAAAAAAGAACGAGGACGAAGAAGAGGACGAACATTGCGCGTGCCGAATCATTGCGATCACGATGGCTTTCTGTTCACGAACCTCAACCAACGGGGGGCGTAAACAACTCCTGTGATCAAAATTCGGTGCAGGTCGGAGAGGCTGACTGAATAGTGCGTAAAAATGTGGTCACCGAAGTGCGACTCCCAAGCCCGCTGGCGCGTTTTTATGACTGCTTTCGGTCGTGGATAACCGATGCAGCTTTTTCCGGCGGACAACAAACTCTCCTATGAATCAATGTCGAACCTGAAAAAAACGAACTAGATCGCGCTTAATTGGGCTGCCATTCCCGTATTTTGTTTTTGCATTAACATGGCCGACATTTTCATAGACGTGAAAATTGTGGCCGTGATTAGGTCGTTCCACACGTTCTACGTGACTGCCTTCCCTGAAGTGTACTGAGACTATCACAGTCCAAACAAAGCAATAATGAACAATAGTGAGCAATCAGTATCGCATATTGTTACTAAAGAATACGAGGCTCACAAATTTCAAGCAACAGATGGCGCTGGCGCAAATTTTTATGAACCACAGTGGCTCCCGGCGGCGGCGGTCGCATATCGATAGAGGCGAGATGCTGAATGCCAGTGATGTACTGTGTGATCTCAGGGCAACTTGACCATCGAGGGAGGTGGCGAGCCCTGCGCTGGGCTGAGCAGTGACCGTCACCAAAACCACCTCAGTATGCCGCCAGTGCCTACCGCTGTCTGCAATTATTGAATAGGTCTATAACATGAACCGGAGCCTGGTGCGTTGCCCGGGATCCTCTGTTGCGCGAATCTGTTGTGATCTTGACCGGCTGCGATCGGTCGCTTGTGTGTGCTATGTGCCTCTCTCTACTTGCTCCTTATGCGTGTGCCACACTGAATTGACCTCGTTATGTGTGGCGCGTTGCGTAGTACCACGGGCTCAGCCTACCCACTGAGGTAACGTAAAATAAGGCTGCCTGGCTCCAGCGACCGATGTGACTGAACGTTCGCTCGGGAGTTCTGTAATGCGCCTGAGATCTTAACAAAAGGAAATCGCCACACATCACGTGGTAGCGAGGGTAAGACATGAGCTTTGGAGCACTGCGACTTGCGTAATGGAGAAAAATGGAAGGACGAGTTGTACGTCCTAACAAACAAACGAAAAACCACCTTACGCTATCGTTTTCTTTTTGAACGACGCAATTTTAGGCCGATTCTGATAGTTGTACATATGATTCGTCAAGCCGGCTGAATAACAAAATGAAAATATTTTCAAAGCTTGAAAAAAAAACGAAATACTATTTTTATAGTTTGAAAACATTTTTGCTGGTATAAGGTAGTGCAATCTTAACGAACAAAAGAATGTGTTGTAAAACTTTATTATATTGTAGCACTAGAAGAAGCGTAAAAAAGACAGAGCCTGCAAACGAATGAAATAAAAGGCAGTCCTTTCCCTATCGGGCAATCGTGGCTGAGCGAAAATTGTCGTGTGCGTGGAGGCCTTTTATTTTGCTTTGTGTCCACCACACTGCGCAATAGTCCCTCGTAACTTTTTTTCTTTGCTGGACCTTTAGCCAGCTGCTTAGTACCGCACTGCTTTTGTTCCTACAGACAAGAACCACGGCCATATGGGGAACAATGAAAAGAAGGCTATAATAAATTTCACTGCGTGAATTCAGGAGTGTGTTGTATAAAGCTTCAGATTACCACATCGTCACTGGCTGGTCGCAACGAGCCCACGAACGAGGAGAGCACCAATTATTCGAGAACGGTACATGTAACGGACGGACCTTCGAAGTCTCACTTGTGCGCCTTTAACTTTCATGCACTGGCTAGTGCTACGTTTGTTCACACACTATGCCACCACCACCACCGCAACCTGTAACTGATTTAGAAACCCTCCTTAAAAAAGAAATAGCGGTGGCTTTGCTCGGCTATATATATTCATAGCGTAAGCTACGGACGAATGGATAGACAGACAGACGGATGGATGATGGACGGACGGAGATAGTCTAGCGAGTAAGCTTACACGAGCCAAGTGCCAGCCCCCTAGTGACACCTCAGTCCAGAAGCTTCCAGACCTTCACCGGCACACCAGCTGTTCGCCTGTGTCACCTCACAGCTGCCCGGGCATGTGCAGCACCGCTCTCAATAAGCCACGAGAAACTGCTCAACCTCAGTCAGCCTAGCTTACGCTACAAAACTTACACAGGAATCTACGGGTGTAAAAATGACAACATATACTTGCGGTCAATCGAAATATTGATAATACCACCAAGGAAGGGGTTTACTTGCAGTAGACATGAAAATGTACCAAAGCAGGACTAGTGTATTTTCGGGTCAAGACCAGTTCCTATCGACTTACACATAGAACAACTGCCGGCTGAACTGCGCCTTCTCTTCAGGGTCTCGCACACCTGTGCATTTACATGACAATACAGTAATTTAGTTTATCAAGATTAGGCATACAGCTTATCAAGATTAGGCATACACAAAACAACAGTGAAATCGCGACCTCTAACGAGGATCCCTTTTTCTTCAGAAAGATAACAATGTGTTTTTTTTCTTGAATATGTGCTGTAATCTCTCGTGCCTACGCGCATCAGTTCGACCTGCATCTCCGTTGTAACTCCCTGTAGAGCATGCATCACCGCACTAATTGTAATGCTGCGGCAGAGCCACGCCATTCTTTTTTTTTTTTTCTGAATTCGTGCTGTTTTGTAGGATTAGGTAATGGAATCCCAGTGCACCTATTAGACGGGTGCATCCATTTTTTCAAAGCTACGCTATTT